CTCCAGGTGGCTGGAGACGATGCGCCCATCGGCCTCCAATGCAGCGAGAGAGTCGATCGCGCTGGCGCCGACGCATGGTTGTGCGGTGACGAGCATGTCGGCTCTCGGCGACAGCGGAGCCTGAACGGCCTGACCCGGGCGGCCCTGTGGCGCCCTCGACATCCAGAGAGCAGGCTGGCCAATCTCTTCGTGGCAAGCGCCGCCCTTGACCTCATCGGCCCACTGCACCTCGTAGATGTGGCGTTGCGCTCGCCGCGACTCCAGGAAGCCCGGCGCGAGCTCGCCCATCTCGCCACCGTGGATCTGCACGACGCACTTGCCGCTGGCGTTGTACGCTCGCATCAGAGCCGGCTCGCCTTCTGGAGCATAGTGATAGCCCCACATCACGCGGGTCTGCTTCAAGTTTGTGCTCAGCACCTCGTAGGATGCGATGCGGGCCGCGAAGTATGGCCGCCCTATCATGTGGTCTGGCAGGCACTGGCTCGCAGAGGGGTCCTTCTGCGTGAGCAGCACGCCAGGCTGGTTGCAAGCGTCCAGCCAGGCACAGCCACGTAGGAAGGCGGCGGTCTTGTGATTGGGGAAGGCGATTTGGGCGATCACCTCGTTCTCCCCAACCCAGCTGCTAGTCATCGTGCGGAACTCGCCCTGGTAGTTGTTGCCGATGCTGGCGTAAAACTCTGCGGCATCGACCTGCCGGGAGCAGCGTCTGATGGCGCTGGCAGTGTCCAGGGCATCGATAGCGGCTGGCTCGAAGAAGCTCGCTCGAAGCTCCGCGTGCACAGTCGCGGCACCATCGACGTTCGACTCGATGAGAATGTTGCCCGTCTCTGCGTGGTAGGAGATCTGCTGCAACGCGTCCGCCTTGGTCTCATCGTCCAGGAAGAAGAACGTGTGGAACTTGGAGTCGCTGATGCGGAAGGGAGCAGCGCGGTAGGTCGCCATCACCTCTCGTGCGAGCGCGATGTAGCTCGTTCCAGCAATCAACGGCACGTAGCCGATCTGGTGCCCGCGCTGGTAGTGGAATTCGACAGGCGACATGCTCCGCTGCCAGACTCGGACACCGTCGAGCTCGGTCGGCAGACCGAGGGGAGACACGACCGGATCCAAAGCCCGCCAGGGGAAACGGATCCTGCAAAAGCGTGTGCGAGGAAGCGGCGCGCGAGCGACGACGACACGGCTGCAGGAAAGCACGCACGACGCGATCGTCCCGCTGTAGCCGAAGGAGCTCACCGCCCCTGTCGCCGCCGCGCCACCGCCCACCTGGAGGAAAGGCGAGTGCTGCGACGGGAGCGACGCGGTCGGCGCGCCCTCAAAGACCGCCGCAATGTGCGGGTTGACCGTGCGTAGCTGCGCGTTCGGCGACGCGACGCCGCCGCCAAGACCGACGGCCAGCCGCAGCAGCCCGGAGCCGCCCGCCGCCGGCTCGCCGTGGCCGGCGTTGGCCTTGACGCTCCCAGTGGGCAACGCGCACTCGTCGCCGAGGTACGTCAGCACCGCCGCGGCGAGCGAGCGCATCTCGATCGGGTCGCCCAGCGCCGTGCCCGTGCCGTGCGCCTCCCACATCGACAGGTCCTCGCACGGCAGGGCCGCGTCCACCAGAGTCGCGTCGAGCAGCGCGTGCTGGGCTCGCCCGTTCGGCGCGGTCAGGCTCGCGCTCTTCCCGTCCTGCCGCACGCAGCCGCCTCGCACCGCGAGCGTGCACGCCTCCACGCCCGTCGTGCGCAGCGTGAGCGCGCAGCACGCCTCGCCGCGCGCGTAGCCGTCGGCCCGAGCGTCGAAGGTGTGGCACCGGCCGCGCGCTGACAGCATGCCAGCCACAGCGAAGCTCGTGCCCAAGTTCGGCAGCAGCATCAGGCACACACCCGCTACGAGGCTGCCGATGCTCTCGCGCAGCTGCGTCGCCCGCAAGCCGGCGTGGCACGCCACCAGCGCGGCGGAGCACGCCGTGTCGTACGAGACGCACGGGCCCTGCAGGCCGAGCACGTAGGAAAGCCGGCCTGAAGCGATCGAGTGCGCGCTCCCCGTCGCGGCGTACACGCTCCCGCCCGCCGGCGACGCGTTCATCAGCAAATTGAAGTCCACGCTCGCGATCGCCACAAAGACGCCGAACGCCGTGTCCGCCAGGGCCGCCCGCTCGAGGCCTGCGCCGCGCAGCGACTCGTAGCCCCGCTCGAGCAGCAACCGCTGCTGCGGGTCCATCGACTGCGCCTCGGCGCTCGACACGCCGAAACGCGCGTGGTCAAACAGCTCCGCGCCGTGGACAAACGCGCCGTGCCGCACGCGCCTCGCCACCTCGCCGTCGGAGGGGCTCGGCGCCTCAAGCGTCCAACGCTCGACGGGCACCTCCGACACGAGGTTGGCGGCGCACGCCCCAACGCGGCTCAGCGACGCCGCAGATGCGACACCCGACGGCAGCACCATCTGCAGCCCGCCCGCGCGCACCGAGTCGCGTGAGAAGCGAGAGGCCTCCACGCTACCGCCGACCGCCGACCGACGAGACGCCGCCGCCGCCGTCGCCTCGCCGCCGAGAGCAGCCGAGGCGAAGAAGGCAGCGAGCTGGCGCGCCGTCGGGTGGTCGAAAACCAGTGTGCTTGGCAGAGAGAGCGAGTCGCCCGCCGCGGCATGCAGCTGGTTGCGCAGCTCGACGGCGCCGAGCGAGTCGACGCCCGCGTCCATCAGCGGCACGTCCGCGTCGAGCCCGCCTCCCGCGATTTGGCGAGCGATCTCCAGGACAAGGTCGAGGTCAACCGTGCTCTTGCCTGCAGACCCGCCGGCAGCGACGGCGGCCTTCGGCGCGGCGGAGCCACCCGAGGCCGCCAGCGACGACAGCAGCGGTGGCGTCGCGCTCATCGTCCGCACAAGCCGACGCCAGTCGACCACCAACAAGGCCAAGACTGGAGGCGCCTGCGGCACCGCGGCAGCCGCCAGTGCCGCCCGGCCCTGAGCGGCCGTGATCAAGCCGACCCCCGTCGCCTGCAGCCGACCGCCCACCGCGCCGCCCGCCGCCATGCCCACGTCTGCCCACGGGCCCCACTGCACGCTCGACGCCGCCAGCCCGTCGCCGCGCCGCCGAGCCGACAGCGCGTCGAGGCAGCAGTTGGCCGCGCTGTAGTTCGACTGGCCCGCGCCAAACAGGGCAGCCATCGACGAGAAGAGCACGAACGAGTCGAGCGGCGCAGCGGCGCACGCGCTCTGCAGGCACCACGCGCCGCCCGCCTTGGGCGCGTACACGCGGCGCAGCGACGCTGCCGTCTGCGAGCGCAGCAGCCCGTCCGACAGCACGCCCGCCGCGTGCCACACGCCGCGCCACTCCCGCACGCCCACGAGACGGCGCACGTCGGCGGGCTCCGACGCGTCGCAGCGAGCCGCGAGCAAGGCACACGAGGCCACCGACCCCGCCGATGTGTCCGCCTGCGCCGCGCCCACTCGCCCGCTGCGCGAGGAGAGCACCACCGCCGACGCGCCTCGGCCGACCAGCCAGCCCGCGGTCACCAAAGCCAGGCCCCCGCTCCCGCCCGTCACGATGTGCGACCCGTGCGCGCTCTGCTCGAGGAAGGCCACGCGGAGCACCACCTTCCCGGAGTTTGAGCCGCTCTGCAGGTACCGGAACGCCGCGACCGCCTCGCTCTCCAGGTCGAAGAGCTCCAGCGGCAGCCCGTGCAACACGAGCCGCCGGGCCCGCGCCGCCAGCTGGCGCAGCGCATGTTGGGTCCACTCCGGAGCGTGCTCCATCGTCGCGTCGAGCGCAAGCACCTCGTAGCGCAGATGCGCCGCCGACGACCACGCCCGCGCCGACGACCACACGCCGCGCTTGCCGATCTCGGCGAAGGTGCCGCCCTCGCGAGCCAGCGCCACCGAACAGGCGATGAAGTCGCCGGAGTCGGCTGGCGTTGCGGGCAATCATGAAA